TTTTACTTCCTATTGATTTCCTTTTACTTCCTATTGATGTCCTTTTAATTCCTATTGATTATTTCACTATAATTAATCAGGATTCTCATGGATTTTACAGGGGGGAGGGGGGTTTTACTAATCAAGAGTCAAAGTTACTGTCCAACTTGCTAATTTCATCCCTGCAAATTCCAAATCTGGCAGCAAATGAAACAAAACAGTGAAAAGTCCTATCAAACTGATCAGAACCACGTCCAGAAGAACAAGAGACACACACAACGCAAACTCAACGCAGATCAAAGCAGTGAAACCATCTAACGCTCCCAAAAGACGGGTGACTGGACTGGCAGTGAGACATCAAACGATCCAATGCTCTTTTTTTTGACGCTGAACACATGCAAAGACTAGGCTGTGACATCGGATCAGACTAGGCTATTTTGATGCTCAAAGAGACCAACATGTTGCTCCAACGGATGTAGAGCTATTCTGTAGGGCGATACCGGCCGGGCGATGCTCCAAGTTTCAAGGAACGCATCAAGCTCGAGTAGCTTCGCCCTAACAGCTCAGCCCAGGTCACCTCACCAGTAAAGATCACATCCTTGGAGCGCAACCGAAGGAGCGAGGCGTCCGCGCGGTTTTTTGGTTTTCGCGCGGACTCTGAAGTGCAAAAACCAAAGGGACTCGAAGGGTAGTCGGCCATGCAAGACTAGGATATCTATACACGTTTCTTCAAAGTGACCTTTGAGTTCCAATTGACCTCAAACCCCCGGGGATGAAAAGCTCAATTTAAAGAGTTGGTGAACAATGTAAAGCATTGTGAAGATATGACTTTGGGGAAGGAGCGATACGAAAAGAAAAAGGGGTGCAAGGTAAGACTTTGTCGAAACAGCCGAAACACAGAACATTTTTTCTGCTGTGCGCTCGTCATGGACCAGCAAAAACTTGTTATATATATATATGTATTGTGAATTGTGTTATAGTCTGACATCTACAAGAAGCATCATGAAGCCATTACACACCAGTGAAACCCCAAAGGCCCGCTACCTTCCTTTGTTTTCAGTTGAACAAACGGTTCCTTCTACGGCTTCACCAAGCAGCCAGGTCCGTGTACATCACCAGCTGATCCCGAAATCCCATGGTGGGCATGTCCTGAGCGGGCCGATTCGGGGAGCGGGGCCTAGCGGGGCCCGGGGAGCGGGGCCGAGACCGACGACTTCGGAGAACAGCTGGGTAGAGGGCTGGTTGCAGGGCTAGTTGCAGCCAAGAGACGAGGTGGCAATCCAACAACTTACAAAAGGACAAACCTGGAAGCATGACAAAACCATGGCTTGCCATTGCTAACTTCTTAATCCATCTTCGCCAAATCGGATGTAGTCCGGTCATGCACCAACTTCACATCATCTCAATCCGACCCCTATTAATTCCTATTTATCCTAACATTATGTCACTACTATTTTCATACGCCAGGGTCCATGGGTCCATGGTATGCTTGCTCAACAGGGGTCACCGGATGGTTGCGACAAACCTCGCCCCCGTCGACCGGAATCGTCATGGGACCGCTGGTATCCGTTGCATCCGGGCGAACGGTAGACAGGTAGAGTCCAACAGTGGAGAGGCGAACTCGACTCCGGTAGTTGCAGGGTCTGGATTTCAGAGTGACGCGCCATTTTTTTTGGGGGAACTCCCATAGCTATCCCTGAGCTCTTGGGCTAAAAGGCTAAATGGGAATCATATGTTCCCGGCAGCCCACAGCCAGCCTAGCCTAGCCGAGGTTCCACCACGAGAAGCTTGGAGACCACTGCATCGATGCCTCACACTCAACAAGATCTGCAACAAGTGCCTGGAAACGCATCACCGGGATAGTCGAACTGGTGTCCTTCAACCTCTGTTAGAGGAGAAAATGACATAACCGTGAGAAACCCGTTGCCCATCGTCTCAAGCGGTTTTCTGCTCTTTGTTGCTTGCGGATCGATGTCGACTCTCTCAAGTACAGGTTCATCGCCGCGACCGTCATCGACAGTTGAGATGGTCTCAAAACCCCTTTTTGGACCGAATTCCCTATAGACCACTCATGGCACCATTGGTTTCAGAGTAGATGGCACAATACGGCCCCCAATGTCGGTAGTTTATATATAGACCCTCATCTATCTAAGACATCTTGGGATGCCCGTACCTCTTTTCCACCACTGTAAGTGGGTTTAGAAAACACCACTCTCATTGAAGTCTTTTGGGTCTATCCTAATACCTGGTTGCCAGTGGATGATGATGGGGCCTGGTTGCAGGCCGACGTCTCAAAAATCGTGGTTTGCTTGTTGACGGGTCCTGTTACAGGATACTGGTCGATGAACGGGCTTACCCCCGGGAACCCTGATGTTGTTACAGGTCTGTTACAGGTAGATGAACGGAAAGTTACCTCTGAATTCTTCATCTTGACCTCTCGAAGTTCGGTGGCGCACTTCCTCTTTCTTTCTTTAAGGGAGACTTGCGGGAGACTGGGCGTGATTGAAAGCCTCCGCTTCACCACCGGCTTGAAGCGATGCCTCTCGTGATGGAACATGTAGAAGAAAAGGCCCCAAATGTTTAAGGCTTCCGCCACTTTCCACCACATCCACCTACCAGGAGCTACCAACAACAACCGACCCCTGCAAGTCACCAGCTGCAACTTTTGACACATGCACACCAAAAAGACCTTTACATCTGCCGGTGACCCCCATCCAAGCAAACTCTACCGACTATGACTATATCCTGACTAACTCACATGGACGACGAAACCAGTCGTGCGTTGCAGAAAGTCGTCTTGCAGTCTTGCAGGGTCGCCGCTCTTACAAAACCGCGGCTGCGCCAGCGCCACGCCGGCAAAGGTTGAAGAACCCTATAGACTATCCCTTTTCAGGGTCACTTCACCTTCTTTCGCCGAGCCTAGGATCCAGCAAAGGAACCAGAAGGGTAGTTCCGGGTCCCTCGTTCAGGTCACCCAAAACCCTCCGTGGGTGCTCCATGGCGCCCTTTCTGTGCCGGTCAGTGGAAGGCCGCGCCTTTCTCCAGGTCCCGCTCGCTGTAGAAGCCGCTGTCTGTGGCCAGCTCGGCAACGCGCTCTTGCCACAGCGGGGTGTGGTACAGCACACGGACACCTCAGGGCGCTTGAACATCACAGTATAGCATCTAAAACGATCTAAAACCTTTAAAAACCACCACCCAGACTTGGGAAAAGGCGAGACTTGCTGCATTTCTTGCCGTGCCCGACCAATCCAATCAGCCACTCCCAGCTGCACACGGCGATCGTGCGCGAGTCCTAAAGCCGAGCCACCCATCGAGACGAGGAGCACCGCCATGTCCGCGAAAGGCTCCGCGGTAGTGATGCAAACGGGAATCAAGGAGGTTCGCGCTTTGGCACTCCTGCAATCTTTGGTGGGTGGGGACATGAAGTTGGACGAACATGGGGATCAACCAGGGGCGAATTAATGAAGTTACATGACTGACATAGTCTATCAAATATTTATAAAGGCACCCTTTGCATCCCCCCGTACATGTTCCCTTGGGTGTCTTACATTACATTTCATAGACAAATTGTGTCTAGAGTCTATAGAATGAGTTGCCTGGGATAAGTTGTCTATAAAATGACAAGCCTTGCATGTATTTATATAAAATGATTGCCAGCATGTGAAAACAAATATAAAACATATCACAATCAAAAAAACAATCTCTATAAGATGAAGTTCTACCCCTTGACATCTTGATCTTAACAACATACAACAATATGATCCCCCTGCTCGCTCTATAGAATGCCCTTCCTGCATCCTTGCACACAATCCCATCTGAAGTACATACTTGCTCAAGCAGCCCTCTATAAAATGATGTCCTGTGATGTTCAAATATATTCTGTAAATCTGAAACCACATATTCTATATAAAATGGGTGTCCAAAACCCATTTCATAGAGGAAAGTGATTGTCATTTCATAGAGCCTCATGTACGGGGGATCCCTTTGCTGTTTTCTATGCCATTCCACCGGAAGCTCAGAATTGTCAAGATCTTTTTCTGGGCAGAACTCGGCAGAACAAGAAACATGAACAGCGAAGTGGTGGGATCGGGATTTCTTCCCTTGCAATCCACACGATTCAGGAGCGACTCGTCGCCCTCCACCAGGACCCGGCCAATGTCATCATCGATTCAGGAATAAACATCCACAAACCCTAGGGCTCCAACCATATCCTCAGAAGATGGTTAGACCCCCCCAAACCCACCCCAACCATCTTCTCAGGAGGTGGTTGGAGCCCTAGGGAAATTGGATCTTAGACCCAATGGAATCGATGATGAATCCACCCCTTGGGGACTCGGACATGCATATATGTCTGATATGCCATCCTTGTCAAACCTGCATGGATCTTCCAACGATTTAAACATCTTCGCCTTCCGACATTGATAGGATGAAAAGGATGCGGCCAAGGGTTGCTGATTCAGCAGTTGCACGTTGATGCACGTTATATAGTTGTAACGTGTGAGTGTTTGAAGAAGTGCAATCCCTCAGCCCCCCCTCCTTCCCACAAACACTGCTTCACCAGCCTTTTCCCAACGCCTTCCCCTACCTAGTCATCGACCAAAAAAACATCTGAGCACCCCCCGCGCAAAACAAAAAATAATAACACACCCAGACAGCGTACCCAAACAGCGTACCCGACATCCCGACACACGCACACTTTGCGGACTCTCCGCACCACTTCTTTGGAAGGACTCCTTAAGGCCACCATGGTCATGTTGTAGGTGATGTCGAAGCGCTTCACGTAGGACGGCAGCGTAAAGACCCAAACGATGGCCGCCCGCACCGGCCCCGTGGCCGTCGGGCTGCGTGGCTTCAAGAGGCTCAAGTCCTCGGGTTCGCGTTGAGCATCGGTGGACGCGTCGGTCCGGGTCCCTTGTTGGGTAGATGAGATATGGAGATCGTGCGGGTTGATCACCCATATACCCATGAAAACCACTTTATTGGATAAAGGTTCTATATGGTTCATCTATATATGGGGCACATGGTCTAAACGCTTGCTTGTGGTTGGTGTACATCCCGAAAATCTCATTGGTGAACTGGGCGCCTCATTGTGCCCCTGTTACAATCTACTACAGCATACTACAGCAAATCCCAATTTATCCCGGTTATATAAATATACATAAATATACCAGAGCCCCTAAGGGGTGGTTAATGGATCAGGGGCCCTGGTAGAGCCTATGGGTTTGGTTTATTTGGTTTCCTGTTTCAAAGAAACGGCTGCAGTCCGGTGGATTGATCAAGGAATCGAAACGGAATCGAAGGAATCGCTTTGTGGCAAACCACAGCAACACCTGGAGGGTCACTGTGAACTTCCGCAGCGTACCCGTCGAACTGAAGGCAGCGTACCCCTCCAACGCGGAACCGTCCGGGTTTCCGCAAGGCTCGGCTCCCATTGAGCTGTGCTTGTGAGCTGTAGTTTTGTGCTGTAGCTTTGAGCCTGTTCTCAAAGCCAGCCTGGCCACCAGTGCTTCTGTGTGATTCTTTGTTTATAAAACCACTTCAAGTTGTCTCCATTCCCCAAAGCCGGAATTAGATCGTCAAGCGGCGAGTATGGAAGGCCAACATCACGAAGGAGGACAGGGACAAATGGGGACAGGGGACAGGATCATCCAAGGAGGCTGACTGCCCTCCACTACTTGGAAGGTCGCAGGTCGAATCCGCAAAAAACCATGGGAAGGTCGGTGCCATGAGGATCCGGTAGAATCCGCGTTTCGGTGGACTTGGACGGTCCGACTGTTGCCTGGGGTGGATGACTGAGGATATCTGAGGATATCTTAGGATATTAGGGATCTGCTATCTGAGGATATCTGAGGATTCTGTTCACTGAGGATATCAAAGCCTGGAGAATGAACACGACTGGCTTTGAATAAGTAAGAATGGACCGATCGATGCTTTCAGGGCTCACTGGTTCACCGATCCACGTGTGTCTGTTGTGAATGATAGACGGAGATTCTTTTGGTCGGAAGGTGAGAAGAAGAAACCGCGGTATCGCCACACCGTTGGATGGCCACAGCCAAAACCGCCAAGTGAACCAAGTGTACCTGACATTGTCACTCAAACTGTTTCTCAAAGGAACTTCAACGAACTTCGGGTCTCAAAGTACAGCAAAAAACGTTCCCCCGCCAAGAGACTTGCTGCGCTTTGGGGTATGAGTTTCTTCCAGCTTAAAACATGCAATCGATATAGGGCTTGACATGGTTTGGTCTTTGGGTGGGCTCCCGAAAGAACTGATGTTGACCTATGATGAATAAAGGAATCCAAAATAAAGTTATATAGCACAGTTCTGCCCTGATTAGTAAACCACCCCTAAATAAAGTTAGCACGTTTTCATTTAAAAAAACAAAAACAAACAAAAAACATTACACACACATAACAATATAAATATCTGTTTAAAAAAAAAAAATCAAGTTTAAAAATAACAAGAACAAAATTAACCTTAAATCAAGCGTACTCTAAATAGAGCTAAGACATTTTCCAGATGCCACCACACCCTAAATAAAGTGTACCCTAAGTAAAGCTAAACAATGTGGCTCGCTGAAAAGAAACTTGTTGAGTTAGTTTTTAGATCCTTTCATTGCTTTGTCAACATATTGCTTCTTTGGACTCCTTCTTTATTAATTCCTCTTCGTCTCGCAACTTTATATCATCAAACCGCAAAGCCTTCTGACAACATTTTGTTTAAATGAATCCCTTATTAACAAACCATTGAAACCTGATTAAACTACTCTGGAAAGGGTTCTCCCCTTGAAGCCACCAAGCCCTGAATAAAGTTTACCCTAAATAGAGCTAATGAATTTTCCTGAAGCCACCAAACCCTAATTCTAATTCAATTCAAATTCACTTCTAGTTCAATTCTACAGTAATTCAATTTTCCAATTCAATTCCAGTTCAATTCTAATTCAACTCTAGTTCAGTTTCAAATCAATTATATTTTTAATTATGATTCAATTCTAATTCAATTCCAATTCAATTCTAATTCAGTTCAAATTGAAATAACTTTAGAAGTATATATATATAATTCAATTCTAATTCAATTCAAATTCAATTCTGATTTGAATACAATGCACTTTCATTTATGGGGCATGTCATTTCTAATTGTTTTGTTGTAATTATGCCTTTTCACTTTAATATTCGTTTTAGTAAGGGATCATTTCATTTCTAATTTAAATTTGTTCTTGGAACCTGGGATGAACTTTAATTAGGGTAAACCCAGAATTCAAGAGATTTGCCACCCGTTTATTAATCAGAGGTCAACATTATATGATGGGTCTTGGATTTGCCTAATGCTTGGTCTACCTTCACTAAAGCCAACTGTGGAGCAGGACTGCTGGGTGGTGACTCTAGAGTCCAAGGATCTTCCAATGGAAAGGTGCCTCCATTGTAGTGGAAGCCCGGCAGCCCATGCCAGTTCCGATACTGAAGCATCAACGATGCAAAGGTGCTCAGTGAGTTCCCCACGAACAAATCGGCCTGCTGCGCCAACGAGTAGTCGATTGCAGGCCAATCATCAAACGCCACATCTAAGTCGCCTGGGATTTGTCTCCCAACAGCGGGGATTCCCCGGATGAGCGGGGAGGTCCAAACAAACCACCACCAATGGTTTTCTAACACTAAAAAGAACTGTACCACATACAACAACAATTGCCTTCAACGCAAAACGACAAATTCATGACATACAACATAGACTCTAAACAACAACTTCTTGAAACTTCCCAGGTCACTAAACATATCCTTGGTCACCACTGTATAGACCTGGAAGAAGTTCGTAAAGTTCTGGTCCTTCTTCAGCTCTTGCATCTTTTCTGCTGAGAGCTCCGTGACCAGATACACCGGCAAAGCCGGATTCACACCTTCCAGCAGCAAGACATTGCCGATCTGGAAGGTGTTGCTCATACCTGGGCATTTGAAGACACATTATATAGCTGGCCAAGTTCTAATTCAACGCCTCCAACTCAGCTAGCCAACACCGGTAGTGGAAAAAAATAGAAACATCGTAAAACCCCATGCCGTGTACTTGTGCGTTGCTGTCCAGCCCACAAGTGTCTTTGTTCCGATATCGGCCTGCAAAGCAAGCACCTGCTTCCGATCCCGAGACTTCAAAGCCTATGCAACAAAAAAGAAAAATAGTTAAGCATTGGCCGTTCAGTGTTGAACCCAAGAAATCAAATCACATCCATTTATCCATGGATTGGCCAATCCTAGGAGGCTTTCCCATGTTTTCCCAGAAAGCCTGAAGAAATGGCGAAGCGAATCCTTGAAGCGCCGGCCGCGAATCCAAGGTACAGTTGTCGATCTTTAAGGAATGCTGGCTCCAGCGCGCGCACGAAGCTGGCCAATCCTTCTCGACCTAGGCGTTCTCAGACCAGGCCACGGTTCTTCCCCCTTGTTTTGTTCTTTTCAGCAGTACTACGTATAGCCAATAGGCCTCATCTTCCCCTCTGTTTATTCTGTTCCAGTTACAGTAATATAACCACCACGAAAACCCTTTATTTACATGGAGGACCAAGCAATGAACATAAATTGAAAAGAACAACACGCGCTCTGTCTCTCTCTCGAGGGACTCGCAAATGCACCATGTTGAAGCCGCTCAAGAGTTTGCCGCTCTCTTCGAGAGGGTGTCCCATTTGAGAAGCTTTCCTGGAATGGCCAGGGCCAGAACATGAGCGATCAAACAGTTGATCATGGCCAGGGCCAGCACCAGGTGATGTGTTGAAGCGGTGATATCTAGTTCTTTAATTTGGGTGGCCTTTCGAGGATGCAACCAAATCCTGATCATGAGCCAGGTTTTTGGAAACATTGTAAAACATATCCAGGTAACCCTGAGATACCCTGAGTTCATCTGACTTCCAGGCACTTGAGGACTCTTGAGTACCTTTGGAGGCTGCTACCAGAAGCAACCTGTAATGGCGAACCTGGGTCACGGCTCAGGACATGTATACCGTACCAATCCGTACCATATATAGACCTCCAAATAGATAAGTTCGATGAAGTTCGTAGATCTTCACTGAAAAGGTTTTGAAAACCGTGCCAACTTCCGTGCCACTATCTATTTGGGGACCACCATATATGGTTCAAACAGTGCTTCACCTTCCCACAAGGTGATGTTTCAGAGAAGATCTTGCTGCAGCACTGCTCAACCAGTTCAAATGTCAGCATTCAACCCGTCACACACGCGATCATGTGAAGAACCAAGCTGCTTTTGGCTCACTGAAATTAGTCCAACATGTCAAAGGATCAATTGATTGTCGCAAGAAAAACAGACCTTAGAGTCTTAGAGCCTCGGTGTCCTCACTAAAATCACCAGGAATTTCCGGTGATCACATAAGGAAACAAACTGAGAAACGGTTGACGGTCTCTCCAACGAAGGCAACACGGCGTGCCATACCTGGATCTTCCAAGTACCCAACATGCCTGGATCGTCCATCAAAAGCAGCCAGTTCTGGTGGACAGGTTGCAATAGACATGCATGGTCAAATCCAGAGATGCCCCAAAAAAACCACATGGGTGTGTATATTTGTACTCCTATACGGAGACCTCTTGGGCTCTTCAGATGTCCGTTTTGGGAGGTTACACGGTTGCACACCCATCTATGCCGGTCGCCTCCCCAATCTACGGCGGTCTCGGCTCTTCTGCGCCACGTGCCCAAAGGCATGCATCATCCGTCGCGCCACCGCATCGGCCGCGTCCAGGATCTGCCAGCTGAAGCTGAGTGCGGCGTCGATCTTCCAGTAGATCGGCCAAAAAGGACCACCTTCCACCACGTTCATCCTGAGTTGTTGTTCAGGGTCATGGCAGTGTTCTGAGGTTTGTCTTTGAACAAGTCTTTTTCGAGACTCTCCCGCCGAAAGGTCTGGGGTGACACCACGTCCATCCGGGGTCAAAGGGGTTCAGTAAGCCTAGTAGATGTGTTTCTTGGAAGAGTCCACATTCATCCTTGAGAGGGTCCCAAACCCATCAAATTTGCGGTGGTCGAGAAACTCTTCCTGTTGAAAAACGACTCTGACAGCGACACCTGCTTTGGGTGGAAGATCTTCCACCCACAGCGACCCCCTCAAAAACCGGTTGTGTTACAGTACTGTTAGCTATCGGTGGATCTGCCACATCTCCTGAAGAGTGAGGAGGCTTCCTGCCTGATCACTTTTGGGCAGCCACCGTTCACCCGATTCTTGTTCCCACAAATAAGGGGGGAATGTACCGGATGTATGTTTAAATGGACATCATCACAAATAGCTTAACCTGGCCATTGTTTACTACTGTCTACATTATATATTACACCACGTCCAAGCAAAACAGAATACACATTCACCACGTCCAACCAAGAAAACCAGGCCATATACAGCTGTAACAAAAGAAACATCATAAGCACACCAACTGTTTCATTGCCCTTCGCACCAAACCCGGAAACCGAGTCGGTCAACTGCTGTCATGGCTCTTGTATGGGAAGTCACAAGGCTGTCGTTTCATTCTCACGATGTGCTCCGGCGCCTTCTGCCATTGGGCATCGATGCTGGCGATACGAATCCAGCTCTGCTCGCCGACGGTCATCAGCTCCTGGTCGAGTGCAGGAGCTAAGGCGACTGGGAGGTGCGACTGGGACGGAAAAAGGTTGAACATAAGCGCTCAAAATCGCCAAAATGTGTACATCTTCCACAAGTCTCACTAGAAGGAGTTAAGGTTTCTGCAGCTTGGTGTGCATGGAGGGTTTAGGGATGTTTAGGGTCTAGGGTGTTCTTATCAAAATTCAGTAACAAGAAGTGTTCAGAAAGTTGCACTAGACGTCTGTGTGAACATGGCTACAAGCGCCGGGGTTTAGTCACCCGGGTTTGCAGAAAGTCACCCGGCCGCATGTAAACGCAGCATTTGTCAAAAGTCACCCGGCTTGCGAAAAGTCACCCGCTTTATGTTAAAACACCATGCAAACGCTCTACGGAAGTATGTTTGTCAAAACTGCTATACATCAAGAATTCATTGCCCTTGTGCACAACTATACTCTAGATGTATGTCGAAGTGTGTTCTCGTTTTGGTGACCGAAGCCCAACGCAAGAGCCGCTAAGAGTAGGACTATCATGGAGATTCGCCTGCAAACATAGATCAGCATGCTGAGACTAGCCCGAATCTTTTTGCTCTGGCCCGGCTCGGATTTGAATGAGTTGGAAGACGTTGGAAGTCGTGATGAACCCGAAATACTGGAAGGTCAGACAAAATGTCTAGTGCAGTACTCAAAGCGCAATTGCCAGTCTTGCGAGTCTTGCGAGTCTTGGCTCACACATGCACTAATACTCAAATATACCTGTCTCTAACCCATCCAGCAATTATGGAATTACAACATCGATGTAGTATGATATGATATAGTTATAGATTATCTATGAACGGACTGGAGTTTACAAAAAAAAGAACAACACACACAAAAAAAAAATGAAAGACATGAAACACAATGAAAAACATCGTCCTGCCAGCATCGGTCACCGAGGTCCCGACCCGAACCTTCCTCTCCTCATCCTTCCAATTCCTGGCTTCCAGGTCGACCGTCCGCAGCGTCGGCCCGCTCAGCGCGAATTTCCCGCGCCGGTCCGAGCGGCGTCCCGCGCCAGACCGGAAGCCGGTGTCGTTGTAGACGATGGCCGGGAAGGACATGTTGCCACACCAGAGCTCATGCGCCCTGTGATCGGTCCTCGGCAAGGACGGATCAATATGCAGCGCAGCAAGAGCTGCTGTCTGTGGTCTAATGGACCTGCGGCGAACGTCAGGTTTCCACCACTGGACAGTTGGGAGTACAATGAGTTCGTTTCGTTTGGGGTTTGGTGGATCCATGGTCTACCTACCCCAGATGCTCCATGCCGATCAATTGGGGTGGTGCCAGGGCGGTCAATGTAGGCGGCAGTCCTATGGGTCGTGTATGGGTACAGTATACTAAATGAATTTTTGTATTGCCCGGTGTGAGTCTTGAACTGCTTATAGAACATATATGAGATAAATGATGTTCCCATCAGTGGGCGTTACACCATGTTTTGTTGGAGGGAGGGATATATATCATTCTATTCTTGGTTGGAACCCCTTATTATAGTGATCCCCAAATAGATGACTTCTCTGTCACCATGTCCCGAACGACACGTTCTGCGTGGGGATCCGAACGGTCACCGTGCTCCGTTCTCGGGGATCCACTTCGTCGACGTCACGTTCTCCAGTTCGTGACCGGTCACTTGATCACCTGGTTGGTTCGGGAAAACTGACAAGCCTCCTATATAAGAGTCACTTAATTGGGAACCTTCTTTGAAGGTCACGAAGTTGATAGAAGTGGGTTCTTGGTTCTTCTTCGCCACCAAGCGGCCGACGACACCAGACCGAGGAGTACAACTCCTGCAGTTCCCTCTGCAGCCGATCCTCGACGCGGAAGGGAAGCGGTCGCCGGAGAAACGCCAGAGGTGTGGACTGAACATTTAATTTGGAATCGGGTGGGACACGGAGAGGGAGGTGATAGAGGGGGGCAGGGGGCCCTTGAAAAAAGTTTCACTGACCATGTGAAAGTCATGCCCTCCTGGCGTTCGCTGTTCTGCGGAACACGCTCATAATGTTCTTTGGGGTCAGGTGATCTTGGATTCGTGGGTGCCGAGCCAAAAATCTGACCTTAAATCTCCCTGAAATGACGATATATAGTGGATTGAGAGTAGATGGCACAGACCCCAAGAGGTGGTAAATATACATCCCCGTGTCTGTGCCATCTACACTAGAAAAACCACACATCAACAAATCTCCTAAATGTGGTTCAATCGTTCCACCCACCTTCAGGACACTGAACCGCAAACAGACCTCTTGGAGACCTCTGGGAGCCATGCCGAATCTGTAGAGGAAAGGCTACACAGTCACTGGAAACACACTCATCCGCTAACGGCTTTGTTGTCATCTCGTCGCTCCGTGTCGCTCCGGATGAACCGCCCACCAAAGGCCAGGCCTCATCAGCCCTAGACCCTTGGATTCATCAACCGCCCTCACTTGGATTGGAAAAACCTCTTAGAGGGGGTTGAAATATCATCAAGAAGTCCACATTGTAAGAACATTTAGGAGACATATAACTAAAGAAGACCGAGGATCCATGTTAAAGATTCGCCACAAGGGCTTGCTTGAGGGCCAGGCGCGCGAGGTGCCATCGTGCGCGCCGTTCAACGTGATCTCTCGGGGCAGGCTCACTTGGGCTCCCAGAAACAGACCTCGCAGCACCGGAGGATGGACCGGCTGAAACAGAGGATGGACAGGCTGAAACGGAGGATGGACCGGCTGAAACGGAGGATGGACCGGCTGAAACGGAAGACGGCTGGGAGCTCTGGAAGAGTTTTCCACCCCTCCGAGAAACCCGGGAACCTCGCACGGGAGCGGAGCTTGGTGAGGTCCCAGCTCGTGGGCTGGGCTGGAGGGTAGAACTCCCTCCAGCTCAAGAACTCTGACTGTCTACCAGCAGTCACAGAGCTCAGAGCTCTAAGTGCCGAACTTGGAGGATAGGGCTGCCCCTGTCACATCCACTCACTGGATGGGACGAGCCACACCACCCCCCGGCCCAAGGCTACACGATTTTCCTTGGCAGCCATCCGATCCCCTCAGCACTGGCTAGATTCTATAAGGGATTATAGGGGTGTGTATTTAAATATGGAGACCCCCAACCATTAACCATACGGTTTGGGTGTATTTTCTTCCTTCCATATGTCCGTGTCACCGACACGGATGAGCTGGGCTTGGTGAAGCTTCGATGCCAGGCTGAGCTCGATGCCAGTGGTGGGAGTGACAATGCTTCGATACCAGAACAAGTGATCCTATGTGATCCTGGTACACTGGAACATGGATTATATATAAATTTAAATAATATAATTCCATCTCTGTCAGACTTGACTGGATTCATATGGATTCCATCTGTGGCAATTTCTGTACATCATTCCTTGCAATTCAAAGATATTCAGAGGTCTCAGGGCGCATCAAATAAAGGACCACTGCAGGACATGCCCGGCGTTCTCAACCCCATGTGTCGCCTGCGAGCAAGCCATCGATGAGTTGAAAGCGTTGATCCGCCAGTCCATCGCAGAGCTGGAAATCGAACTGAAGCGGCAAGACCCGCTCCTGAGGAGACACCCTGGATGGCTTTCCAGTGACTATCCTAGTAAGAACATACGCCGTGGATGGCTCCCCAAGTGTGGAGTGCCATAATGATGTACCATCCAAACAATCCTTAGCCTCCTTTGAAGTAACACATAGTGACATAGTGACACGTTGTCCCACCAAAATGTTCTGTAGCGGTTAGACCGCTGCTACAACTGTCTGCTCACCCGGAAGGAATCGACCTACACCAACGCGTTGATCACCGGACACCGTCATCGCTGGCTCTGATTGATCAGCCCCTCATCCATCTCTCTCAACGACTTAGTGGGACCCTCTGTGGATGCATTTTTAGGCATTTTTAGACCCCAGGGTCAGACCAGGCTCACCCATTCCAGACCCTAGTAGGGCCACTATGTTCTCTCCTCATCCCTGGGCTGATCCACCCAGACTCTCCATGGGACTGGCATATTGACATACATTATCATACATCGACCCCCGTCCCATAGAGTGCCTGACTATTGACGACCGAGGGCCGACATGGGCCGACACGTGTCGGCCTGTGTGGCATCCTGTGGCCCTCTAAGCTTGCTTCAGAAGCTTCGATGGTTTGGGCCCGACCCCAACATCTGATCTTCGTTGTTCAGGTGTTGTGTGCACTCAGGTCCAACTTCCTGGAGTAGATCTTTCACGGATTCCGAGAAAGAGAAGGGACGCGGGGAGGACATGGGGAGGACGCAAAACGCGTGCCCAGGTGTTCGGGAGCTTGGTCTCCGTATTCAAACACACACACACAATTATAATATGGAACCTAAGAATTGACCGTGGAAGACCCTTTTCCGAATATCAACCGACTGGGTCGGTTTGGGGTTCGGTCCGACCTGCCGGACGTCACTCACCATCACTGTGCCATCACATCTCCGACATCTTCGGGCATTCCTCAAATCTCCAAGTGGTCAACGTCAACAGTAACAACCAACCAGCACGGCCACCATGCCGGCGCCCAAGTAGAAAAAGACTGGCTGAGCCACTGGCGGAGCCCTGGCTGCCAGGCGTCATGAAAATCCACCTCTGCTTGTCTTTTTTCGAGGTAAGGGCTGCACCTCGAAGTCCAAGTCGCTGGCAGCGAAGTCCTCCCCTTCCAACACTTCTGGCCCTGCCTCCGTCAAGTCCTAGCGAGACATGGGGAGACCATTGGTGCTGGATGGCTCTTGGAACAAACATTTGTGAACCAGCACCACCCTCAGGTTGGTGGATAGATCGAAAATTCATCTTCACGGGGGTCTGTAAACCACCCTTTGGGTGGTGCTGGAACTTGTCGTTTAATCATAGTTACAGTAAACCATGCAATGTCTGTAGTGGAGGACCCAATATTTCATTTGCTAGAACAAGTCTCCGGAAAACTGCTCGTGATTCTGGAATGCCATTTGCTGTGTGACATATGCTGACATAACATAGACTTCCCGACATGCCCAACTTCCTCTTGATCCGAACTGCTTTACTTTGAGATCTTTGAGGTACAATCTGATATAGCAGTAGCATCTATCAATCCAGTCAACACAAGCCCATCCGTCCTCTTCAGGCTCACCGGTCGTCGTGGTGGACCCTGCCGTCGTGGTGCTCACACTGCCCGTGGTCTTGCCCTTGGACTTGCGCGGTTTTTCTTTTTTTTCGCGCGTCCAAGTGGTGAAGACCGCATAGGAGGCCAAGGCTGCCAGCAGGAGACACAGCACCCGCGCCCAGGCGCCGGACCCCAAGCATCTCATGGCATCGTTTGGAAGGTTGGGGAGAAGGTTGGGAGAGAGTGGAAATCGGCAGGGCAGAAAGAATGGTCTGCCAGATGGGGCGAAACCAACATGTCAAAACCCAACTTGCCAATCTGGCGAAGAGCGGAGAGGGCGCGGACAGAGCGGGGTCGGATCGGAGGCTGAGGCGGATGGAGGCTGAGGTGGGAGGCTGGCTTGGCTTGAGGGTTGCCACCGAAAGCAAAAGCCTGAGCCACTTCTGCATCCTTGATATGGCTTGGAAGGGGCGAAGATGGAAAAGAAAGTGTTTTCTGGGGAGTGGCTGAGGATGGCAAGTGGCTTCTGAGCTTCTGCTTGCGTTTTATGGACTTCTATGTCTCACAACACTGAACATAACATGATTATCATCCCAGAAGCGGATGTCCTGGATGGATCTTCTCAGGATGATCCAGGATCCTACTCAAGATTTGGGATCTTCTCTTCAATTAGTCTGGCTCCACTCAACTGGGCGTCGTCACACTCTGTTTTTATGTCTTGTATGATCTTGTTAGTTTGCTTCTAGAAGTGGCTGAAAACAGCTGCAGCGTCGCAAGTCCAAGCAGGATTGACATGGCACCCGAACAAACCCACTTGACTTCGGCTCCTCCCATCGTACGTTATGTGGTTTAACATGGTTTAACTATGTTTAACTACTTCACCCGTGGCTTAATCCACTGCTCATCCGGAACAGGAGGGCTACGCAACGGAACGTGGTAGAACATCGATTTAGTCGACGTGCATGCAATATCATCTATTGACGATCGATCAATGTGTCAGCATGTTTCAACCATCAACGCAAACGAGGAGATCATTACATGGACTGTCCCCCCAAGCATCTATCGATTGTTGTCCATGTTTCATTTGGTCTTCAGGGATTGTCCAAATGAACTGTCCCTCTGTCACTCTATATAAAGACCTGGGACTGGTGAGCAACCACCAGGGATGACCGAGGACATGTTCATGCCTGACAAATAGACGACCTCGGTCCTGTCCACCTGGGCCCACCTGATTATATAGATCTTCAGGGTCTCAAACCTTTGGGGTAGTCAGCGAAGTTGGGAAGCGAGAAACTGCTTCGCAAAAATCAGAAGCACCCAGAGTCCGGTCCGGTCAAATTGGGACCATCACAACTCACATCCAAATCTTTCCCCCCGGGGGTATTGAGGCTGAACCATGCTGAACCTGGACTTCTAGAACATGTCAACATATCAAGGGAGTCCAAATGTGTATCCTCAAATCTCGCAAAAAAATAGATAAAACACACACGCAAACACACATCGACACGCGTAATTAGCTTTGGCCAAACAAGACCTAGCCTTAGCACGTCCCTATTCTCATCACATTTCCTGGTACCGAAATAGAATGACGGAAGAAATGGGGTCCCCCCAAGACATCGGATGCCCCAAGACATCCCATCCATCCAAAGACCCACGATCGGTGGCCACCCTGGGTGGACCGTCCCATGGAGCTCGCCCCGAAACGGAACGTTCGGTCGCCCAGAAACGCTCGATGATCTCAGGCGTCACTGGAGGCAGCTCCCGGTAGATGCGATTCCTGGAAGGTCAGCCACCAGGGACAGGTCTATGGAGTGTTTCTTTTTTTCCTCAGAAAGGATCTTTTCTACTATAGAGATCTATAGGTTTATGTTTGTAGATGTTCTGGGGAAAGTGTTGGGATGAGTCAACATATATCAGGATTGGGGCGCCAACGACCCATAGATGACCATCCCCAAGGAATTGGTTGGGACAAGGCATCTGCCAATCTTCACCTTGCGCAGAAAAGGCCTAATACTCTTCCTGCAACCATTATGGAAGTGGAGTTCACCCCTGTTGGTATTCGCAGTCTTTCTTTCGGGGTCCATCGTTCCAAGGAGTGTAGTTGCAGTGTGACCGGGCTTTTCAGGCCACCAAATCCGGCACCCTTGTTCAAGAATGTCCTGCAGTTTCATCCACCCTGCTAAAGCCCATCCGCACCAAGACATCCCAGGTCCACCCTGCTCAAGCACGTCCGCAGCGTGGCTACGAACAGGGCGATGCACCATTGTTTTTTTTTAAACATGTGCACAAGAGGCAAGCCCTCTGCACGCGCGCCCTGTGAGGCCCCAGGCAAGACTTCGTTCATGATCACTGCCAGGTGAGGCTTCACCTATTGAGGAAGAACCGCTGACACTTCATCATCCATGGAAGCCAAGCGGATGATTTCGGAAAGTGGGTGGAATGGGACCATGTCCCCACATCAGTGATCAATAGTCCCATGTCCCCACATCTCCATCTTGGACCTCAGCCAGGACCTCCGAGACTACGAGCCTCTGAGGCTCTGAGGTAGCACTTCACAGGATGGTATAGACCAAAACCCTCAAAGTCCCAGACGTCTAGGATTTTAAAAGGATCTGACTCGGAGACTGTGAAATCGGAGAATTTCCTTTACGTCCGACGGTGCCCCAAATAGTCCGACTTCTATAATACATACCAGGACCCTCCAAGGGGTGTCTATTAATAGCCCCTTAGCTGTTAAAGGGTGTCCATTAACCACGCCCTAGACCTCCAAGACCATTAAAACAATGGTTGATCTATGTTGATCTGGTTTTGTAGTGTATAAAACCCTTAGCAAAACAATGGTGGTTCGGTCAAGCCTATTAATGGTGGTTGGAAGCCTAGTATATATCCCACTGGATCCAGGCAAGTCGACGAAGAGATCAACTGCACCGACTGCTCGCACGAAAAAAACAAAAACCGCCGTACCATCCCCATTTGGCTGTGGGTCAAAACCAGGATGCATTGGTCATTGGTTGGCCTATCTCGAAGGTCAAGACGACTAGGTCGTTTTGACCGCCATGGCACAGCCAGTTGGTCGCGGCTCCATCCCGCACCAACCGCTCGGCATCGCCCTGGCATCGCGCTGTCCCCGGTGCCGGGTCCGTCGTGCCTTCCGGCCGATGGTGTTCATCCTCTCCTGGAACTTGCGGACCTGCGCTCAGCTCGAAGCTGCTCGGGACGTGGAAGGTGTCCAGCGAGCTAACTCCCCCCAGTCGAACTGGGGTAGGGGATGAATTGGATGGTGGATGGATCTATTGATCTATATCATGCTTATTGGATGTTATTGGATAAACTTTTTTGGAGGGGGCCATCCCGCGTCCCGAGATGTTACTGATTCTTTTCCAAAAGAACGCCGACTGCACTGTACATCCATGGATCTATCCTGCGGCACCCCTTGAAAACACCTGTGGTCCAAACCCAGTTGTCTTTTTGAAAGCGTTCGTCAAGTATATTCAGAAACCAGATCGGATGTCTATGTCCTTCTTGGATGCCTGCATGGTTTTTCACCTTTCCATAAACCATCTCCGAATTGCTTTTCAAATTACATTCCAATGGCGTTAAGATTACGTTCACATGTTCAAGTTTTGCAAAAGAAACAATCCATACCAGGGTCATCCAATGGGTGTCCAATAGTTCGCCCTACCCTACTTAAAGGTCTCCAATGGGCACCCGTTGGAAGTGCTAGGATCCATAAACAATCCATGAAAAGTTATAGTAGTATTACCCATATACTCCATGTATGGGATATATGCCTACATTGACCTCCAAAAACACCCCAATGTAGGATAATGTAGGCATATACGGCATACATGAAATGTCTGGGTTGTAGAAGGACAGCAATTCCTGTCCAATCTTCCAATCGATTGCCGGGTGTGCACCCACAGCGACGGGACGGGTCACGCTGCCCGGCATCCGGATGACTTCCATTCACAACCATACTAGGCTTCCATCCAAACACCTCTGTAGATGCCAATCTTTGCATGAAAAAACAAAGGAGACCGTACCTGAAAACTCCGACGAAAAAACGTATGGAAGAGCCTTAAAACCGCCCTGATGACATGGTAGGGTGCTTTTTTGGGGGTCGCAAATTCAGCGACCGCACGTTTCCAAGGAGCACGGAGCTTGTAACTTTAGACCACCAAAAGGGCCTGCAAAAAATGGGGCACAGGAACTGGCCTACTTAGTAATTACCCCAGAGCAAAGGTCATTACAGTATACGTATATGTGTGGTCAGAATGTGTCCTGTCCCATACCCGACTTCATAGGACTCCTGGCCCTGAAAAAAAACACGAAACATCGTCACATTGCCGAAATTGAATCACCAAATAAGCATCACTTTTAGACAGATCAGTGTCCACGGAACATCCAGGTTCATCCTGTTCATTGTTTTTAGTGGGGAAAATCCCTGAAGTACAGCTCTGGCAGGTGGATCCGCTGAACTGGGTATAGGTGAAGATATGGTCAAGGACCGACCGCATCGCTCCCGCCATTGGACGAAACAATGGCAACAGAAGCGACTAATCGGATTCCATCTCGAGCGATCTTGAATATCACCGGGTCTACAAAGTGAGGCGGAGGCCGGGGAGGCGGAATAGATCATACAATCATACCATGTATACATCTTAAATCGTCTTATAATCAGCTATTCACTTGTTCATGTGACCAGGTGATCCTTGTGCTCCTTGCATGTTGAAATGCCCAGGAAAGTGACTTGATCTGACTATGGTGCCGGCGTGACGCTTTCCCTTGGCTGTTCAGGAGGAGAGACCTCTCGGCTGTTCGGCCCGGGGGGGACCCGGGACCCGGCCTTGTCGACGAATTGCTTGTACCTGGGAGAAGCTGCTACACACTCGGAATCCGGAAGACCAAGGTGGGGAAGGTCTCCCGTTCGCACGGTCGGTGTGGTAGTGGTACTCAACCACGCCGACGTGGGTACTCATACCCCAAACAAACAGGTTCACATGCTGATTTTCCGTGATGACGACATTGGGCGACTTCGTCGAAACCATCCATCCCTATACCTACCAGTACAGCTATGCCAGGAACTGACCTCATGTTACTGGAGTTGGTCATACATGTCATACATGGGCACTACTCAATCATGAGGCGCTAAAAGAGACGTTTGGATCTTGGGGTCGGACACTCTGTAGGGTGTGATCAGCTGTG